TTATTATAATTAATTATATTATTTTGATTTTCGTTCCAAAAATTTTAACTTCCTAGATTAAACTAAATTGATTTTTGGTCAACTTCCTTAATTTTTTTTAATAGAAAAGTGGCAAACAAACAGGCCTTATACGTAAGGGTGAGCCAGGCCCTTGAATAAAAAATAATACGAAGTAGTAGTTTTTTTTTGTTTTTTTATTCTTAACAAGGCAATTTAAGAGAATAGCGAATGAGATTTGTGGGGTTTGAAGTAATCGCAGAAGAAATGATCCCTAGTGATTCAGCAAAACTAATGCTGACGTTAGCCTCTTGCGCAATGCTGACGTTTACGTTCGCCTCAATGAATGCTAACGTTCATCAACCATTTCTATATATAGTAGGACTCTTTCTCCTCTATTTCTCATATCTGTCTCCTTTCCTCTAGCCATCGTTGAATAAAGCTTCTGCTAAATCCAACCATGCTTTTCGTCTCTGTTTAATTCCTCAGGAAATAGTACCAAAGGAATTTGAACCATTTTTTTTCCCTTCATCACCTTCTTGCTATCCAAAATAGAAAAGAGCAGAAAAGTAAGTATAATATTTCTTCATCTATATTTCTGGTAGATCTAGACCACCTTTGCAAAAAACTTCTGTCAAAAAGTTCCTTTTTTTTTTATTATTATTATTATATCCTTTTTTAATGATGTAGTAATAATTTCAGCTTGTGTATATTACACAAATGCATTTGATTAACTGAAGTCAAGTTGAACTTACTAACTAGGATTTATGAGTAACAGGGAACCTCTAATGGATACTGGAGAAAGCACGCGTGCGCGGAGCAGAACAGATATTGTCAACATTACGGAGCTAGAAGGTGGCTCTGGCACCTCCCATTCAAACAGGGATAACCGTAAGATTTGGGTTAAGCTGATGATCATATTCATTGAGGTAGTCTTATTTGTCTTGTTTTTGGGAGGTCTAATAGCTAGTTACATTAGATCTAAAAACCATGAGATATGGGGTTTAGAACTGTGGAAGTGGTGCGTCCTGGTATTGGTGATTGTTGGTGGTCGATGCATCATGAAATTGATGATGGATTACTTTTTGATGTACCTGATTAAGAAGATTTTTTTCTTACTGAGGTGCAAGGTCCGTTATAGTTATTATATTTATAGTTTGATGAAGTATGTTCGTGTTTTTTTGTGGTTTGGTTTGGTTCTTCTCACTTGTTATTTGTTGTTTAAGAGTAGCAAAGTTAAGAGATCAAAGCTCGATTCCAATGTTCAGAAATTTATAATGAGGTCACTTGCTACTTGTGTAATTGGGGGATTTCTATGGGTGCTGAAAAAACTTTTAGTTAATATATTGACTCCTCCATTCCAAGCTAAAAGATTGTTCGATCGGTTTCGAGAATCTTTGATTGATCAATATATTCTTGAGGTCTTCTCTTTAAAGGACAGTAGCGTTGATGAGGTTGTAAGTGTTGTCAACATCTGGATCAAACAAAACAACTTGCCAGCATATGAATGCATGACAAATGGAAGCGTGAAGGTGATTAATTGGCTAAAGAAAATAGAGCCTGACGAAATATCTGCTTGGGCAATGAAAAAGCTAATGGAGTTGATAGGGTCTACTCCGTTGTCTTCAATTACACAAGGACTCGAGACGCTACCTGAAAAGGAAAACAATATGACCAATATTTTTGAGCAAACAGAGGACGTTGCTACTCAGATTTTCGGAAGGTATTAGACAATTACTAATGTTTCTTTTTACTAGCTAGGTTCAATAATTAATTCTTCTAAATGCCTCTGGTCTTGCTTCCTATTTTGATTATTTTGTCAGTAGATTCATTCTTTTCGTCAAGTCAAGTTAAAAAAAAAAAGAAAAAGTAAGGCATTACTATAGTTGTAATACCATATAGGATTGTGAATTCATATTCTTACATAATATTTAATGAAATATGGTGTGATATTGAATAAGTAAATGCATACAATACTATTAATAAATTTTAAATTAAAAAAGGTAATTTTATAATAATATATTATATTATAAACTTATAATATTACATGACAATGTAAATAAAGCTTTTTATTGGAGAAAAAAAAATTGGAAAGAAAAGTTACCTTATATATTTTGGGGCTTCTTAAATTAATTCATATCTGTTTGTATTTTATTTTCATAGTTGCTTTCAATTTGTGACAGTAAGGAACGAAATGTAATTAAAGACCTAAAACTATTTAAAGAAGAAGCTCGCGATGTGGAACAGCATATAAACGGTGTGGAGGAAATGGCTGGTGAGGAAGAAATAATGCTCAAGAGGCAACGTGTACGGAAGTGGCTGGCAAGTTCTTATAATCAGATACCTGTTCTAATTTATATATATATATATCTTTCGTTCATGCAAGACCATTCAAAAATCAAAAGAAAACGGGGTCGGTAGACGTGGCTGAACAATATGAATTTAAATTCTCACTTTGTGATTGCTTTTATGCAGGCGAATGCCATCATCGAACGTAGATCATTGGTACAGTCCTTAGAAGATTCCAAGAGATTAAGAAAGGAGTTGAACAAAATTGTCTCTGGGACTGTGCTTATTCTGGTCTTCATTATCTGGTTAATTTTGCTGAAAATTTTAACCACAGGAGCTCTTGTCGTGATTATAACTCAGTTTGCTGCTCTGACATTCATTTTTGGTGACACTCTCAAAAGTGTATTCCAAGGCATCATTTTTGTATCTGTTATGCATCCATTTGATATTGGTGATTGTTGTCTCATCAAGGGAGAAGAGGTAAATCCCTAAATCTTTTATATAATTAACACAGTTATTTTTCCTTTAATTACACTGAATGTTAATTATTTAGAAACTGAAAAAAATATATATATATATATTCATTTGAGATTTTTATCCTAAATCAATTTATGTTGATTCATTTGTTATGAGAATCAAATACATGTGTATAACCAAACTCCTTAATTACACTTGTTTGCCAAATTAATTAACTTGATACTTGACAGATGGTGGTTCAAAGGATTAATCTTCTCTCAACAGTCTTTCGGAAAAATGTGAAGGATAAGATAGTGTATCCAAATTCAGTTTTAACTACTTTGCACATTAAAAATTTGTACAAGGGTGACCGCCATTTGATCGAAGATTCCTTTGAGATTACCATTGATTCGTCCACACCGCCAGATCGAATAGACGTTTTGAAGAAAGAAATACAAAGGTACGCCAACTCTTCCTTTTTGGCCTGTTGTTGTGATTAATGAAAAATTTTACGGAATTATTGTTCCATTATCTGGTGTAAATTTTCTTTTTCATTAACAAATAATCAAGGAAAATATATTATGCTTTTGTCGCGTAATTCAGTGGAAAATAATAAACATTAAAAATTGTCTATTCTTAATTTCCTAGCTATGAATGGTTCTTAAATTTAATTTATTTTTATAATTTGACCAAAAAATTATTATCACCACCAACCAAACATGACCCAAGAATTATATATGAGGAAGATTTTTTTTTTCTTTCTGAAAATTATCACTCCTATTTTTTTTAATGAATCTAGTTTGATTTTTCAATTTTTTTAAATATAAAATTTAAATATAAATTTAACCATTTATATAAAAAATAATTGAAAATTTTTTTTCTATATAAAGTTCTTGTCAAAAAATTTTATTTGATAAAAGAAATTAATTATTATGTATATATTATGTTAAATTTTACCTAAAATTTAAGTATAAAAAGTTAAAAAATCAAATTAAATTTTTTAAAAATAAATAAAGTAATATGTAATTTCTTTATTTCGATTCACATACCATATATTATATACATGACATCACTTTTCAATTTCAGGCTCTTGTGGAACGAAGAAAAATATGGAGAAAAATGGTTAAAGACTTACGTCTTTAATTTGAAAGAAATTAAAAATCGGAAGTTGAAAATTTTTTTCAGTGTTTTTTATCGCAAGACAGAGCTCCTGAGCGACTGGGAAATGATAAATAGTCGGAGAAATATCTTAGTCCGAAATCTAAAGATGATTCTGGAAAATGAAAATGAGATCAATGGCCAGGAAAATGAAGAAGGGAAAGGGAAGAACAAAGTAGACGATGGCCAGACAAAAGAAGAGAAAGACAAGAACAGAGATGGTGGCCGAAAAACCGGAAAAATGAAGATTAAGTACTATGATATTCTGCCTAAAGTAGTTGATGCGGAATAGCTATTTTTTTCTCCAAACACCTTTCTTATTGTATGCAGCTTAGGTTAATCTTCTGTTTTATATAGTTTGGAAAAAGTATTTATGACAAGTTGTCAGAGTATATAGTTGTGCTTTAATTGTTGCTGTGGTTGTCTAAGTTGTGCTATTATGATCACAAGTTATTTTATCATTTGAACAACTATCTATCAAGAATGATGTATATCCCTACTAGAAAACACAGTATAAGCAACAAGCTTATAATCAACAGCCATATATTTGTCAATTATATGATCATAATTGATAAAAAAGATGTCGATTATAGTAAGCTGTCGATGATGTGCAATTTTTACAGGTTTAGTTGACAATTTTCATAATTAACAACTTTTCTGTCCATTATGATCATATAATCAACAGATAAATGGTTGTCGATTACATTTAATTGATAACCTTTGGCTGTCGATTATGTGTAAGCTATAATCGACAAAAGTGTTGTCGATTATATGCTAAAACGACGCCGTTTATTTTGTATAATCAACAGCAAGTGTTGTTGATTATACATTGGCATTGCAACTCCCCAACTCCCCTTTTTTCCCCATTTCTTCTTCTCCATTTTCGGTCGATTTGCTTTCTTCTTCGACAAAGTGTGCCATCACTGTTCATGCCTACCTAAGGGACTGGTCTTTGTGCTCCCTGTTGTTAGACTCCTAAAGCCAATGATGGTGATTCGGCCCCTCTTCTGGTTGATTTATTTTTTTTTTCACTTTCCTTGGATTTATAGTTGGTATTTCTGTTTTTTTCTTGTAGATCCATGCTCCATTTCTAGCCTTCATCACCTCCACACCACCTGCTGTTGTCTTCCAGGCAAATTGGAATGTCGTCAATGGTTTTTTTTTTCTTTGTTTTTCCCTGTTTTTCTTTGTGTTTTCCTTGGGTTTGGGTTTACAAGACCCCATTTTTCCCATTTGTAGGTCCAAATTCAACCTTCACTGCCCTCACTGCCTCCACCTCACCATCCCGACCAGAGACTGCCACCTTTAACGGTTAGTTTTTTCCAGCAAGAATTTGGAGAATTTTCCCTTGGTTTTGTATTTGTTGAACCTTATCTTTTGTTCTATTATAGATTTGTGATCCAATCCCATCCCTACAACATCACCATCCCCACTACCAAAGGTAATTGTGATTTTTGTGGTTTTTTTTTTTATGCAAAATTATATTATCTCATTTGCGGATTAGTGTAGATTATTGCTACTATTGCATGAGATATTGAATTTTCAATGGATTGTAGTTATTTCTTTCCAGTTTTTGAAATTGAGATATGTATGCTAGTTGAAGAGTTATTTTTAATAAATTTTTATATATTATTGAGTTTGAGATTAAGGTTGAAATTGATATTGAGGTTGCGGTCCATATGTCTATAGTATTGAAATAGATTGAATTGATTTTTATATTGAATTTCTATTGTCGCAAATTTTTATTTATTTTAAATTATTGAGTTTAAGATTGATATTGAGATTTGGATGTGTAATATTATTGAATAAAATTGATATTTATATTGAATTTCTATATCTCAAATTATTTATTTCAAATTATTGAAATTAAAATTAGTATGGTAATTAAACTAGAGTAGTATTTATATTGAATATATCTATATATTTATAAAGTTACTTAATTATTTGAAATTATTTACATTGAGATTTATATATGTATGATTGTTGAATTATATTAGTATTTGTATATACTGAATTTATATTTAAAATTATTAGGATTGAGATTAATATGTGTATGGTTATTGACATCTATAGTTATTAATTGATATAATAATATAATTGTCAAATTGAAATTCAAATTTGGTAATTAAATGATGAAGGACCGTAGTTGGATAGATCGTTGTATAGATAATGGTGGTTTTGTTACTAATGAATTTAAATGAGGGGTGCAATTTTTTGTGAGATTTGCATTCTCTAGACCCAAAGCAAAATCAGAGATCAAGTGTTCTTGTTCAAAATGTAAATGTAGGAAATGGGGGAACCCTGAGGTTTTCTTCGTGCATTTATGTAAGCATGGGTTTATGAATAACTATTATGTATGGTATATTCACAGAGAGACATCCAATGATACAATAAGAAACTTTGAAGGGGAATCTTCTAAAATGGAATTTGTTAGAAATGAGACAGATGCAATGTGCCATGAAATGGTAGTTGATGCAATGGGTCTATAGCCTAAATACAATCAGGGGCCAATGGCTAAGTAGCCAAATAGTAAGGCAAGAGAATTTTATGATCTTTTGCATGCTACAGAAGTTCATATAGGTGCCAGGGGACAAAATATCACAGTACTTTCATGGATGGCATAAATGCTCAACATTGAGACTCTTTATAATATGAGTGCTGCTAATTGGGAAATGGCATTATCATTGAGTTGAAAGTTGTTGAATTTAGAGGACCAAGAAAAAGTGCCAAAAGATTTCTACAGTGCCAAAAAATAATAAATGTGCTTGGACTTGGGTACAAGAAAATTGATATTTGTGTCAATGATTGCTTCTTGTACTATGATGAGCAAAGTAAGAATTTAACTACTTGTCTAGTATGTGGAGAATCCCATTATGAGCCGAGGAATATGGCTACTATGAGGCAAAAAGATATTCCAAGGAAGTCTTTGTGGTACCTTTCAATTACCCCTAGATTGCAGTGACTATACATGTCTAGGAAAATAGCAAAACACATGACATGGTATTTGAAATGCCGTGAGGATGCCGATGAAGTTATTCATCTTACAAGTAATGAGGCATGGAAACACTTTGATGAAACCGACCCAACATTTGTTGATGAAACTAAAAATGTTAGACTTGGGCTCTATATAGATGGTTTCAATCCATTTGGCTGCTCTGCAGCACCTAACTCTTGTTGGCCTGTCTTTTTTATAGTGTACAACCCTCCTCCTAAATTGTGCATGAAGTCAAAGCATATATTCCTTGCCCTGATAATTGCTGGACTTGAAAGTCCAGGGAAAAATATTGATGTCATGCTTAGGCCATTAATTGATGAACTTAATGAATTGTGGATAAATGGGATTAAAACTTATGATAGTTTCAAGCAAAAAATTTTTATCATAAAAGCTGCATTGCTCTAGACTATAAGTGATTTTCTTGGTTATGGCATGTTATCTGGATGGAACACAGACGAGAAGTTGTCATGCCCCTATTGTCTAAAGAATAGTAAAGCTTTTCAACTTCAATATTGGAGGAAAACATCATTTTTTTATTGTTATCATCAATTTCTACCTCCTAAACATCCATTTCATAGAGATAAGAAAATTTTCTATGTAAATAAAGTTGAAAAAAGCCCTCCCCTCCAAGACTAAATGGTAGTTTGATGGAGGAAAGGGTTAATCAGCTTTCTAACATAGTCTTTGGTTGGCCACTTTGTGAACATTCAATTGTAAGATTTGGTGTTTTTCATAATTGAGTGAAACATAACACATTTTGGGAATTGCTATACTGGAAGGATTTATTGATTTATCATAATCTCGAAGTCATGCACTATGAGAAGAATTTTTTTGACAACATTAAAATTATTGTCATGGATGACAATAGTTGTATGAAGGATAACACAAATGCTAAAATGGATCTACAAATATATTGCAATAGATCTCAATTGGAATTGATACCTCAACATGATGGAATGGCTATGAAACCCAATGCTACATATGTTCATACTCAAGAGCAACAAGCTCTTATTTGTCAGCGGCTGAAGGAATTGAGATCCCCAAAAGGGTATGCATTTAACATAGCATGATGTGTTAACATACAAGAACTTTGATTGTCTGGGATGAAAAGCCATGATTGTCATGTATCCATGCGACATCTCTTACCAATCACTTTCCGTGATTTCTTTATAAACAAAGTTTGGGGTCCCTTAACTAAAGTTAGTAACTTTTTTAGAATTTTAACTGCTCCAATTATTCGAGTTAATAACATGGAGATGTTGGAGAGAAAAATTGTCGAGACCATTTGCAAGTTAGAGAAAGTATTCCTGCCAACATTCTTTGACTCGATGGAGCATTTGGCAATTCATCTACCATATGAGGCAAAAGTTGAAGGACTTGTCCAATTTCGTTGGATGTATCCTTTTGTAAGGTACATTTCTTCTAATGCATTTGCACCACAATAACATTCATGAATATGTTTAATAATTTAATCTTATTAATTAATTTTCTTATTTGTTTAATAGAAAAATGCATGACCTTAAGAAGAAAGTGTTGAATAAAAATCACGTCGAGGCTTCGATTTGTGAGTCTAACATTCTTTCAAAGATTACTTTCTTTTGCTCACATTATTTTGGATCCAACGTAGAGACAAGATTGAATCGCTAGCCAAGAAACATTGTTGGCAGGAAAGATGATATGGATAATTGTTTATCCATCTTTAAAAAGCGAGGTCAACCTCTAAGTGGAGAAATGCATAGATGTGCATTGTCATCGAAAGAATTAAAGGCAGCAGACTTTATGTTTTGCTTAATTGTGAAGAAGTTGATCAATGGATTGCATATGTTCTAATTCTAACTTTCATTTTTTAGGTTAATAGTATGTATAGCTTGTTTACTCCAACTTCTTTATGTAGGCTTTTTAATTATCAAGCATGTTTCGATCTATCACTAGATCAAATTCAAATGAAACGGCAATTTGAATTTATTCCTTGGTTCAAGACAACAATAAGTAATTCATTTTAATAATTTCTATTATCAAAACCTCATCTTTTATATTATTTAGAGTTAAATATTAAATGTTTTTATAACAAATGTAGGTGCGTAATGGAAGATACGAGGTTGATCCTCATCTTTGGCCTTTAGTAATTGGACTAGTCAGTAATGTTAAGGTATATAATGGTTATTGGATTAATGGATTCCAGTTTCATACTACTACATATTGACAAAATAAAAAGACCATAAATAATGGTGTTTGTGTGAAGGAAATCACTTTCAATGATAATGAGTTAGATTATTATGAGAGTTTGAAGGAAGTTATCGAGTTTCAGTATTTTGACTCATATGTTTATCAATCAGTGATTTTGTTTAATTGTGAGTGGTATGATATCAACAAAGGTATCATGGTCCGTTCGACATCTAATATAATGGACATAAATTCTCGGTTTAAATTACAAATAGATGAACCATTCATATTAGCAAATCAAGC